GGAAAGGAAAAATGATGAGAAATGGAAAAAATGGAAATAAAGTCTTTATAAATAGGGAAGGGTGGAGGGAGTGAAGGGAGGGCTAGGAATGGGGAAAAATAAGAACCAAGATGCATCATGTAAAGTTACAAGTTCCCAATGAGAAATGTAATTGTGTTGTATACCTAAAATGTACCAATAAAAGAATTTTAAAAAAAGAACTTTATGAGGATTTTAAAACCTTTTCTTCAAGAATATTTGTGTTTAATTTTCTCCTCACAGTACATCATAGCTCCAGAAGATTCTGTGCTGTTTCTTCTTCATTTCAGATCACAGACTACAAAAAATATAGTTATTCTCTGGGCATTTTCTAGGCTCATGATAAAGAGAAAACATACTAAGCTGTGAAACACATAATGGGTCTTAAAGTTAGTACACAGGCATACAAATGATGTTAATTCTTTCCATTATATTAGGTAAAAATTTATAACCAATTTTAATGACAATGGAGTATAAAGGATATAATTATCCCACAGTCTGAGTTCCATACTAATGAGCATCAAAAATTTGAACAATAATACATACCACACCCAGTAAGTAGAAGACTGTCTTAGCAGTCCAAAGCTTCTGTATGGAATGTGAGAAATATCTGTAGCAAAATTATGAACAAAAAAGTTGCCTTTGGCACCTCCATATATGTAGGTATGTGTTTGGTGTGTGTATGTGTGTGTGTACGTGAGTTTCTACAACAGACAGCAAGAGAATTATTTGCTGTTTTTAAACTAAGCCATCCTATGATATTGATTTCATTTTAAAAATAACCATTTTACCTGTTTGAGATATATATCAGTGAATTCACACTGATTAACATTTATTTAGCCACTTTTTCATGGGGATGCATACCTTGTAATTTAGAGAAAGCTATATTGTCTCCAAATTTCTCTGCTATATACCTGCATCTCTTAAAAAAATTCTCTCAATTAACTTCTCTTTATGGTTTTATCTTTCAAGACATACAAAAAAAGATTGATTTTCTGTGTAAGAATTCTACTAAGAGGAAGAAGAGTTTCCCAGGATGATGATAAAAGTTCCCTGGAGACTTAAGGAACATGAAATATCTGGTCATTAGAGGTATCAAAAAAAAAACCCCAAAGATAACAGGTACAAAAATCACACCCAAAAGTCATAGGATTATGTTGGGAATGGACAATCTTCATATTATTTTTAAAATCGTATAACAGAGGTATTGAGCCTGTGTTGGAGGTGCAATAGAAGAAGAGTTACCACAATCACAAAGAAAGTTTAGATGACACTTTTGGTACTGCACAAGGAATGTAAAGAAGCAGAGCCTAAACAACTGTCCTCACTGGGCCCCGTATTTCAAAGCATGGTGACAGTTAATACAGATTATACCGAGGAATGACTGGGATTGTGGGACACATGCAGCATCCCACTGAATAAAATGTTATGATGGAGACTAAATGAACTGTAAAAACGAAGCTTCACAAACAACAGTGTGCCGAGTTAGAGCCACAACACAGAGAAACAGCATGATTGATGTCACACAAATCTCATATATTGAAACTACTGCCACAAGAATCTTGAGGAAATTTTTAACATGTGTTCACTTCAAAATTCATCTAGTTCATTGTTTACAGTTTTTGTATAAATAAGATTTGCATACTTTACCATAAGTATTGATTTTGTGTAATTATCTTAAAATATTGTTATCCAGAGATCTTGCTAATTATTTTCCTATCTGATGAGGACAACATAAGTATAATCAGTAGTATCTACCTGTGTTGTTGATGAATGTTTGGTCTTCTTACACCCAAGTAATATTATATGTATCTCAGGGTACACATATGTGAGTTTACCTTCAGGAACAAGGTATGGAAGTGCTTGATGAAAACATTTGCACACTGGATGTTTAACTGATTTTTTTATGTTCCTGTCAACAAAGCTAAAGAATGCCACTTTTTGGACACAGAATGCATTGCTGAATAGTAACAACTAACCTGAAACTTACTAGTATTTTTTAAAATATTAGTTGATTTTAAAGACTTTCTATGCTTGTTTTTCAAGCATTGCAAATCTTTAATTGCATGAGTGACTTCTATTTTTCTTTCTACTTTAAACACTTTATCTATCTTAAAACATGTTCCCTTTTTCTGATGATGTCCTGCATGAACTCATGTCCACTTGCCCCTCCCTGTCTACAGTGTCCAGCAGAAACAAATCAATTTATGCCCTGGCTCCTTGGTGGCTGACCATGTGTTGGTGCAACTGAAGGGAATCAGCAGTGGATCCTGCGCCTTGCTGTGTGTGTGTAAGAGTGCTACCACCAGGGAGCCCTTGAACTTGCATGAGTACCACTTAGCTCTATTCTCTCTTTCTATATGAGCATTGTACACTTTTTCTGATCTTAAAACTCCTCAAATGGCTTCTCTTTCCACAATACACACAGATGATGAACTAGTTACTATTTCAATGAAGATATTGAAATATTCAGAAGAAAATATCTGTCTGTATTATTTCTATTGAGTGACCACTAAATTCCCACATATCTTCCTGATTAACTCCTGTCAGTGTGAAGGATTTTACATGCTGCAAGAGAAAGCCAAACCTTACATTTACCTTACACTGCAGTTTTCTCTCACAGTCCACATTATCAGGGATTTTTTTCACACTTCTTCTGCCTCTCTTTTGCATCAATATTTTTCTCTCTTTTTTTTTGGACAATTTCCCTCAGAATAAGAGCACAAAGCTTAAAAAATATTTTTTAATTGAAGAAAAGTAAACTGGCCTCGGCACCCCTGCAAACATGGAGCTGCAAGTGGCCTGCAGCATGTGCTTTGTGGCCGGCACCCTGCACACAGCCTTGGTGCCCTCCATGCCCGGCCCAATTGGGCCCTGGCAGCTGTGGGCAGGTGCCATGCAGTCCTGTGCACAGGACAGCTGTGCTCAAAGTGCATACATTCACAGAGAAACATGAACGGATAATAACACAAAGTGGTATTGGAACAGTAGGAATCAGCAACTCTGCAAAGGAAGCTTTGGGAGATGTTGTTTATTGTAGTCTGTCTGAAGTTGGGACAAAATTGAAAAAGCAAGATGAGTTTGGTGCTTTGGAAAGCATGAAAGCTGCCAGTGAACTCTATACTCCTCTGTCAGGAGAAGTAGCTGAAATTAATGAAGCACTTGCAGAAAATCTAGGGCTTGTCAACAAATCTTGCTGTGAAGATGGCTGGCTGACCAAGATGACAGTGAGTGACCCTTCAGAACTAGATGATCTCATGAGTGAAGAAGCATAAGTGAAATACGTGAAATTGACTGAGGAGTGATGTGGCACCCAAAATAAACTAGTGTGTAGTGACTTCTTCCAGCAGTGTCTGCATTTAGTGGTGGACAGAAGACTTGAGATAACAACTTTTAGCAGTACTATAATGATGAAAAAGAAAGTAATCTCATCACTGCTCCTGGATGGAAATACCCCTTAACTCCCTAGTGATTGCAGTTAAATACAATGTGCACCTTTTTTGGAGTTTATACATGTGTTTCTTATTTATTTCACTTAAGAGTATCATCTTAATATGCATACATTTAGCAATAAATATTTCTAATTTCTCATTTTTTATGGCTGAGTAGTACTCCGTTTTATTTAAAAAAAACACATTTTCTTTATCCAGTCTCCAGTTGATGGTCATTTGGGCTGTTTCCAAGTTTTAGCTATTACAAACTGTGCTGCTATGAATATGGGTACACATATATCACTGTGATATGATACTTTTAAGCGTTTGGGGAAGATGCCGAGCAGGAGAATAGCTGGGTCAAATGGGACTTCCAGTCCTAGTTCTTTGAGGTATCTCCATACTGATTTCCACAGTGGTTGCACCAGTCTACACTC